GAGGTGGTGATGTGCAACGAGATCTTCGAGCCCCTGGTGGAGGGCCAAAAGCTCCCCGTGAACGAGCGCGGCACCATCACCGGCAAGGCACGGTGCACCTACTCGGGCGGCTCCGTTTACGTGGGCGATTTTGTAGGGAACAAGAAGGAGGGACACGGGAGAGTCACCTTCCCAGACGGCGACGTGTACGAAGGAGAATATGTCCACGGCAAGAAGCACGGGCCAGGCATGTATCGGTACGCCGATGGAGCCGTGAAGGTGGGATCCTACGAAGCAGGCCAAGACACGGGTGTGGGAGTGAAGCGCCTCGCGGACGGCGGCTACCGGCAGCTCGAGGCTGGCAAGGTGGTGAAGACGATCAGTGAGGAGGAGGCGAAACGGCTGGTGAAGCAGTACACCTTGCCGACACTGTGGTGAGTCAACCCACAGGGAACCAGTTTTGCAAAGCCAAGCCGAGCGCTGTCCCCTTTTTTACCGGAACTGACCCGGTTGCTGGGCGCCTCACAAGCCTTCCACTTTCAAGAAGTTTGAAGCGACGGAGGCGCCAAAAGCGGCCGAAAGCGACAGAAAAGCGGCACTGTCAGCGGCCAGCAGCGACGGTTCATTTTTGTGGAAGTCACCGACAGGGGACGTAACACGAATTAACACGACCACCACTCACCACGCCAAAAGAACGATCATCCCACATGGTCAACACCATGAACTCGCTGTGTGCGTTTGTTCCTCGTTTCGCTCACAGGTCCCCTGACGTTCGCGGCGGTGCGCGCCTGGTGAGCCAGGCGGGGTGGGTTGTGCGTGCGGGGGCGCTTCGTGTGGGGATCGGCTCTGGTCTCGAGACGTGGTTCCTTTTGGAACTCAGAGTCTCACGTGTGGGTCGAATTCCCAAGAGAGGTAGGTGAAGTGACCGAACGACTAGGACCCGGAAAACCTGGAGGACCTATGGGATAGTCGAACAGTCGGGTCCTGACCCACCTCTGTTGGAAGTCTGGGGCAAACAAAGCCGATGTCGTGTGACTGCAAGTCTTTTTCCATGGCCTGGGGCCCCGGCCCGGACCGGTCTTTGTCGTTTTCATCACCTCAAACGGAGGACCTCATCGCCCTTCGTGACCGTCTCTGTGACCCGACCGACCGCGCGTGGCTGGTGACCGAACATCTGGGGAGAGCAAGTTCGGTCACTTGGGAACGGTTTGAAAGGAGAAGTAGTGGGGTTGTCGATGCTGAGACGGAACGTCCTCCCTTTGATCTTGATGGTGTTCACCTTTGTGTTTGCCTGGATGTTCCAAAGATGCCGATCAAGTTATATAGGCAGAACTTGTGCACAGTTGGAAGATCCAAGTTTCAATGTTAAAGCGTGTCCGACGGATCTCGTCGTGTCTTTTTCCTGCTTGGAGGGTGGAATTGGGATTGGACCCGCATGTTGACAGCAGCTGAGCGGGGAGTTTTCTTCAAGTCGAGAGGTCCCAGTTTGACTCATTTTTCACTCCGAACTGGTAGCTAGTGGATTATGACAGCCGAGTGGTACCATGGTGAACCTTGACCGGTTTTTCGAAGGACTCAAAGAAACGGGACGTGTTAGGGGAGCCTTCTGCTGCCGTGTTCATCGCTGCCGTCTTTCTCGGGTGCCCGAAGGACTGCGCGGGGGCCCCACGCGGCGGCAGTGGACCTCGCAGCGGGAAAAAGGGGAGGCGGGGGGGACCTCGCAGAGCGGCGGAAGACGGGCGAATGTACGGCGAGTCGGATGCTTGTAGGCTTGTTATGGCGCTTGTTATGGCTGGTCGCCGGCGAGTTGCATGGCTTCTTGTCATGGCTTGGCATGTCTTGTCAAGATGGTCGAAGAAACTCCATCGAAACTGGGTCGAAGTCGTCAGTCGTCATGAAGCTGGGTTTCGAGTGAACTTCGAGGGATCATGGCAAGCCGCGGGACACTCTTGTGGGACACTCTTGTGGGACACTCTTGTGGGACACTCTTGTAGGACACTCTTGTGGGAAGGTTTCTTGTTTTATTGCTCTTCTTGAGTCACCTGAGTCTTGAGATCTGAGATTGACGTTCGAAGAGCCATCATGTGTCTTACCATACACCTGTGTCAAGACCGAATACTGGAGCAATCCGATATGTCATGTCCGATATGTCGTGTGCGGCATGGATGACTCATGCGATATGTTGTGTGTGGCATGGAACGGTGTGAGTTACGGATTACAGATGAAAGACAAGGGACTTATCACGAGCACAACATCCGCTCGTTCCAAAAGGCCAAGAAAGCCACACTTGGCTTTGGCCCATGAATTTCTCCTCTCCTTCCCCACGACGACGAAATACGTACCCGAACCGCTTGCGGAAACCCAACCAGCGGCCCCTCCGGTGTTCGGACCCCCCGCCGTGTCTCAAAAGGCTTGGCTCAAGGGGCGGGAACGACAGCGGTCGGGGTGTGTGGATGATGCTGGAACGACATGTGAAACATGAAAAGGGGTCAATGCAGATAGGTGGCATCATATCGAATTACTATAGGGTCTGTCCGAACTGACCTGTAACAGTATAAACAATTGTTACTGTTTTTGAACAAGGCCATAGACCCAACGAATGACCAGAGATCCAGATAGGTTGTTCATGGCATCGAGGAGCGACCCAAACTGCAATGTCATGGCAGTTTGGAGTTGGAACGATATGTGGTGGTTTCGTTTCCTTTTTTTTTACCAGGTTGGAATCAATCCCAAAGACTACAGGAAGTGTCCTTTGAGGCCCTTTTCAGGAATACGTCCCACCAGTTGGTTCATAGTCTTTGACTCTCAGGGCATGTGCAGCGTTGGAGGAGCTGTGGCGGGCGGTTACATCCAAGATACAAGACCATTCTTCCCCGCAAAGCACTCCCGCAAAGCAGTTCTTGAACGAACCTTTTCCGCCTCAAACAGTTCAATCGTTAACACACTCGTTGAAGCACAAGGTCTTGCACCCTCAGGCCGGTGAGGCCGGTGATGTTCTCTTTTCTAAGTGGTCATCACCCTCCCTCACCCTCCCCCGCCGATGAGCGAGCGGCCCGGTGGTCCGCCGCCCTTGATCTTGACGCTTGGACCAAAGGAAGGGTGGGGGCTTTAGCGTGGTACAGGGAGGGCAAACGGGCGGCGCACGGTGCCGGGTGGAATTGAGGCGAGTCGTTGGATGCCCCTAGCCGTCTGTTCGATCATCCACAACAAGGTTGAGCTATGTTGAGCCGGTTTTGGTCGTCTAAAAATCCCTGGCAAAAACAAGGGTTCTTTGGTAAAGACCGTTAAAGCGATGGTTGTTGGAAGCCCAGGGGGGTGATGTTGAATCCGTTGGTGGGATGGACCCCTCGCAAGCCGGAAGAGACACCGGAAGATAGCGGGAGATGGTTTGCTGTGGTTTTCCAGTGTTTTTTTTTTTGAGTCTTATCTTCGATTGGTTGTGAAATATCTTCGATTATTATAGTGACTGTAGTGACATGTGCTGAGTGGTTGATTGGGCAGCACAGTGGCTCCAATGCCCATCGATTGTTTGATGGGAGAAATCTGTAGGCCCTAAACTGGAGGCGATGAGCTGGGTTTGAGATGTTCCATGAGAGTAGTTTTATGATAAAACTGGAGGCAGTTCTGGTT